CATAATATAAATGCTTATTCAACTATCAACAATGTGGAGTATTAATCCTCATACGCAAAAATTCAATATGGCATCGGTATATTACTGCTTTGTCTGTTGCTGAGCTATTTGCCACCATATTTCATCTTAAGAAGTATTTAATTAATCTTTAATCATTAAGGACTTTACAGTGCACTGTCCATTTCTACAACCTCAAACTACTGCTTGTCCATTTAATCAAATGAGATTTACTGTAGCACTAACTTTTGTTGTTGCAGTAATACCACAGTTAGACAGTATTGCTTAGTACAGGGAGAATAACAAAGGCTATTGATGTGCCTTTTTGAAAAGGCAAATTAATCCTTGTTTCCATTTCTCCAGCAGGATGTGATGATTCTAATTTAGAAAAGTCACCTGAACTTCAAAATAGTTACATTATTCACCAAACTGCAAAGTTACCAAATATGAAATGCTAATATCTCAGATATTTTTATAACTTCAACGATTTTATGGCATAATAGTGACTTCTTTAAAATATTAAGTCCTCTGAGATTTTTGGAAATGGCATGAAAAAAAGCAGTATTGTCTAATATGCTGTAAAAGAAAATAAAAAATTGCGAACCAGTTTCTCTGCTAAAGAATCTGCAGTTTCCTGTTGCTGTAAGCAGATACAGAGGTCCACGCTCCACAGTCACTCCATTAGTAACAATGTGCAGCAATTCTTTTGAAGTCAAGACAGTTAACCAGCTGTAAAACTAATGTTACTGAAATAAAATCCAGACCTACCATGGCCATGCTTTCCACCATGCGCCACACTCAACTCTCATGCTTCTTTCAGATTCTCACTATTGTTAGTAGTAAAAGAATAGTTTCTCACATACTACAGAGTGATAACCACTGGTAAATTTACGTTCTTTATAGTGGTGACCACTGTGACTGAAGAGTAGCAAAGGCAGTCGGCATGCATGACTCGTCTTGCTCAGAGCCACATAAGGCAGGAGTATAGCTAGAGACCTTTTGACAGCTAGCACAGTACTCATTCCTCTAGAGCATATTGCATGCATCATATACATATTCAGTTCCGTTAGAAAAAAAGGTTTTCCTACCAATCAGGGCAGTGTATGAAAATAATTCCGTCTCTCCGTGCTGCATACATCATGATTATGGATGTGCTGAAGCACCAATAATCAATCTCAGTTACTGGAGAACGCGTTGTCACTTTCTGCTTTTAGTCATGCAAAGTGTTATACAAAGAAGCAGAAGTAATACAGGTTGATTTTCATGGAGGTATTATTGTATGTGAAGTACTGAGAGGTTATATGTTATGATAGGAACACAAGCTGCGCAGTGCTGTTCGTTTTGTTGTGTTTTCATAAATGATTATGGAAGTAAAATATAAGCTGCACAGCTACACTGTTAGCTAGAGTACTTTGGGATTTTCTCCCACTTTCTTCTTCCCATCTAAGCAACTTGTGGAGGTGGCATATCAGGCGTTTTTTCCTCCTCCCAATGAACTGTTTTCTTTGTGCAGAGATTAGTTTAACATGGTCCAATCCATATGCTACAAAATTGGCATCTCTGTAAGTTGTAAGTGGCAGCTGGCAACAGAACAGTTCAGAGGTGCAGAGATCATCTGTATTAAGCAAAACAACCAAACATTAATTTTCATCCCACTTACCTTGAGGAAACTTCAGCACAGGTTAAGCACGTGTTTAGTGTTTTGTTGAGTTGTAAAACCCTGAAAAGGCTGCTCTTTCAGCAGCAAAAAGAACCCTAAAACTCAGCAAGTGCTACTGAATTGGCTTCCAATGAGTACAAAATAAATTAATTGGAAGGGTGAAAAAAGTCTCTTAAGTCTGCATCTCATGCCAAAGATTTTGTTACACCCAGAGCTGTAAGTCTGAGGAAGAGTGAATTGGCTAATGACAAGTCCCAACCTGTGCAATTATATAGGGTCTTCTCAAAGTCTGGTATTTCCTTTTAGAGTCTGTATTTTTTAGGCTACAGGCTGAAATGAAGCACACTATTAAACTGCCACTTCTGGGTATTAGGTTGTTCACGGCTTCTCTCTATTTTTGTCACCCAAGGTTGCAATGATTTTCTCAGGGATTTCTATTGTTGTTGCCATACTAGTCCATAGCATAGGTAGGTCATAGCGTCATTTTGAATGATACTGAGTTCAGCTCAAGATTGGTGGCAAGAACAAATTAGTTCATAGCTTTTCTTATAACCCCATATGCAGAAGAGGAAAATAAAGTTGCATTTTCGTTTCATCTTTCATGCTTACAGCACTGGTGTCGTTAACCCATCCATACCATGAGAACATACAGGTTTATTTGCAACATCTTCTAACAAGAATAAATGAATGAATAACAATAATAATATTTTTTTTTAAAATCCTCTTGGTTTTGGTTTGTTTAAAATACCTTAATAGATTGTATGGAAAATTCCAATTGGAGCAACTAGAATTCTGTTTCCATGGGCTCGATAACAGTGATCACGAACCTAGCCATTGCTCCTT